GCTCAAGATGGAAGATATTGAAGACCTATCACGTGATATACTTAAGTCAGAAACATGTAGTTTATTAATTCCTGAAATTGAACTTGAACTTCGCTCAGGCACACTTGGAGGACGATTTACCACAGTTGAGGGTTTATTACGGCAGGTTCATGAAGAACTTCAAGACAAAGTTCCATTTGTTAGTGGGGATGGTGTAGAAAATGAACGTAAAGCATCGTTTGAAAAATTTTTGACCAAATTAAATAAAGTAATTACGGGAGAAGCTTTACCAGTTCATTTGGTACTTGATGATCCACTTTCCAATTCATATTTACAAAATCCTTATGCACCAGGTAATGAACATTTAAGAATAATTGATAAATTGAGCAGAATATAATTGATAAAAGAATTATTGTATTAATTGATTTATTGTATTAATTAATTCATTGATTAATTCATTGTATTAATTAATTCATTGTATTAATTAATTCATTAATTAATTCATTGTATTAATTAATTCATTGTATTTGATAGATCCGGATCCGAACATGCAAATAGAAACATATGAAAGAAGTTGGGAGCAAAATGAATTTCTTGGATTAAATGACATTGTAGTGGATAACTATTAAAATTGAAAGATTTATTTTATTTTTTTTGTACATGATATATTTTTAAATTCGTATAACAGAAAATAATCTAATTAATGATAATGACATTTTGCAATATATGTACAATTGATATGGACCAAATGAATTAATGAGACAAAAAGGGAATAAATTCAATAATTTTTAATAATTTTAGAGTTTAATGTCATGAATTTTTTTTATGTAGATCTTTTTCATAATTCGTTTCACTATCAGATTTACTATCTAAAGGTTTATTTGCGTGATAGAAATAACGTATGACGCCGACCATAACAAAGCAAATTGTTGATACTCTAAATATAAAAGGAATATGTTCATTTGGAGTATTAATATTGCAAGAACTTGATAGATTTTCGTCAGCTTGTAGTTTATTAATAGTTGGAACGATTCCTATAAAGACAGAGTTTGTAGGTTTCAATATTTCTGAGAGGGTTTGAGCTTGTAATTGGTTTTGAGAACTGTTTAGATTCAAGGTTGGAATAGCATAAGAAGTTTTCAAAACTTTTTTTCTTCCAGTGGTTGGATATCGACGACTAAAAGGTTGGCCTGGTGGAACATAATGAGGGTGAAAAGGAATCTGAATCGTTGAAGCATAACACCGATTGCTTAAACCTTTAATAATTAAGTTCTTTGTTAATTTTTGTTTTTGAGAGCAAAACATTTTTAAAAAACTTAAGCATTTTGTTATATCCGAAGTGATTTAATAATTAATAATTAATATATAATAACTTTTTTTTTTTCAAATTTTAGTTTGATATATAACTTAACCCATACGTATTTTAAAAATTAGAGTTGATCAGCATTTGTATCGCTATAAATAATAATAACAATGAGCAAAAATTAACCTGAAATGTAATGCAAAATGTTGCTGACAAATTATTCTAGATTTTCTATTCTGAAATAACGAAATCGCAAATCGAATACGTGCGTACGTACGTACGTACCATGAAGATTATCTGTGAACGGACGAGAAATTATATGAGTATCGCTAAAAGAAACCCCGAAAATTTAAATGTGACTTGTATTTAAATTTTCAATTTTCTTTTAGCGACACTCATAAGAAACAATATAAGGTACTCTAATAGGCATTACAGTATTATTTTCTTTATTCCTTAATGAAAGTTTTTTCATTATGTATTTCTTAATGAAACCCATTATTTTATGGGAAAATATATTATTAGACGATATTTATGTTTCATTAACGTTAAGAACTTTAATACCTACATATATACTGCGGGTTAACAGCCGTAAAGTGGATTGGCACATACCAACATACATTTTTGGTTAACTTGAATAAAAAATTTTAAATTGTATTACAACATCTGTACGTACGTACGTATTTTGAATGCGTAGACATCGAAGGTTTCGTTTTGACCTTTTATGAGTGTTGTGATCTAAATTTGTTAATATTTTAAAGAACCATCGAGAAAGAATTTAGTATCATGTGAATGTTATGCAAGAGGCGATATGTACACAGTGTTGTACACGGAAACAAAGATTCTTTCAGCTCTTAAAAGATTAATTATAATTTTTAAACTTACGTGCCAACCATTATGTAGTAGTATTCATAGACTTTACAGTAAAACAATGTAGTACGTAATCATATTCGTTACCGATACAGTATAAATTTATCAAAAAATTCGTTTAGCATATATCGATATTATATATGTTTGTATATGTTTGTAAGTGGGAATGGAACTAGAATAGGATTCAGAATCCACTTAGATTACTTAGATTAGAGCGAAATAATTATACTAAAAATCCAACCATAACCTTAAAAAGTTCGAATCAACTTAAATCCTATTCCCACCTACGACATATGTATACTATATATTTAGCGTCAAATCGATTATTGTGCGTAGGTGTAAAACGTACTGTTTGATAGAAAAAAAAGCTCTATAGAGTTTATCATTACTACAATACGTATACGTATGCAAGATTTTATTAATATAACATTTTTGTGCCTTACCCCCTAATTTTTATTTTAGCAACAAAATTTTTTTGATTAATTTGTTATTTCCCAATATTTCAAT